CCTCGGTACATTTTGGCAACCGCACTCAGAATATGTAATTATCCCCACCTGCGTATGGGCAGGGTCATTGTACATTAGTTGGGTGGGGGCCTGTTTTTGCAGGAGTATTGAGCTGTGGGGGCTTCATGCCTCTGAGGGTCTTTGGTGCTTTATCAGCCTCTTGCCCCATGCCGAAAAAATTTGTCAGGCCGGGCAACCAATCTTGAGCTGACTTTTTTTGTCACCTGCGCAGGCTGGCTCTGCACGCACGTCCACGAGCGCACTGTGAGACTGCGTGGGCAGCTCGAGGCGGCGTTCGCTAGCGCTAATATCAGACAAGCATAGAGATCGAGATACAGATAGTGAGCGATAGCGAGGTACATGGAGATAGAGGTTCACGTAGAGATAGGAAGACGCATGAAGGCGAAGAAATTGGAGGAGATAAAGACGCACAGAGGGAGAGAGAGAGAGAGCTAGAAAGATAGAAATGAAAAGAAACACACAAAGGATGATATACTGTAGTTTCTTCTGGGACCTTGTCTGGTACTAAGCGCAAGCGGTGTACACAGCAAGTCTCAAAGCTCAACCCCTGCAACTTTTACACGCAGCAAAGGCCTCCACAATGAGATAGCTAGCTGCCCGGGCTCGGGCATGCGGGTGCCTCTATCACTTCGAGTCAACAACGCTACAGTAGCCGCTAGCCTGACTGACTTGCGACGAATCTGAACTGAGGCAGGCGCGTACAGTTTGCATTTAGCACGGACAATTGCTCTCTCAAGGAATTGTTGTGAATGAAAGACAGTGGCAGAGCCTTGGCTGCACGGAGATCGCTGCTGACACCATTACGATCAGCACATTCTAATTCAATTTCATCGCAAAAGTCAATCGCACAACAAGCCACACTGCAGCACTCTGTGGAGCCGGCGCGCATGGGTGGAGCGTTGCCTGGGTCTTCTTTGCTGGACTGGAGCCTGCGGACCTCTCGGTGTGGGCACCTCTCCGAGCTGTCATTATGACTTAGCCCGGCCTCGTCGATGTCACGGAATCCCCGAAAGTACCCCTTGATGCTGCCATGGCCTAAGCCAGCTTGCAGGTGGTTTTGCGATGCTCCTAACTCAGAACTGAACTTGCGACGTCTCAGTGCAGCGCCGTGCCTCTCTGCTCCTGGAGGCGCGGGGCGCGGGCGCCTTTTGGCCAAGTCCCACTCGGCCTACGCTCACTGAAGGAGGGATCCATGCACAAGAGCTTGCCCCTTCATTCAGTCTGCGGAAGGCTCTCCTGCCAGGACTGGAGCATGTTGTCAGCACCTGAGAAGACATCGCAAGTGTGGCCTTCTGCCCATCTACACTTCAAGCCTTTTACGTGCTCAGGGTTTGGCTGATCTCCAGCCCATGGGCCAGAAGTCCATTCACCAGACCAACTGTCATTTCCTGCGGAACCATGCTAAACGAATATTATGCGCGGGAGCACCAGGAGTCTGGGCACCCGACGCAGTCATCGGTGTACATACCGCATGCCTTGGCACTGGGCATGAAAGGTTCCACAATCAGAGATTTGCTCGCCCTTTTCTGTGCGAAGAGCGCTCAGTGAAGCTGTCCCTGGAACGCCCTAAACCCTTCGCTCCGCGGCACTCTGCTTCATTGCTTGCTGAAGGCGATGGTCTGCGTGTAGCTGCTGGACGCCGGATACGCCGGATGGAAGGACTCCAGGCAGACAGGCCACCGTAGGCCACTGTGGTTTTCTCATGGATGCGCATCGCTGCCTCTTGGCGTCTTCTGGACTGTGCCCAGCTCAATCGAGGGCAGCATCAATGAACTGCCTCATGCAATCTCCCCGTCCAATGCAAACAGAGCTCTTCAATGTGATCAAGCGTAATTCTGTAAACAGTTCTGTTCACCTTGAAGTAAAACAATCTCAATTGCTATCCAGCACTTGTGAGTACAATAAGATCAGCAGGTGTGCAGAAACACTGACAGCGCAATGTAGAAGGTGCCAAGCCCCAGCGCTTGAGCTCTGCCAACTCTTAGACAAGGGATGCTCCCCACAAGAGCTGTTCCTTGAGAGGCTGCGCAGAGAGACATTCACATCTCGAGCAGTTCATTAAGTAGCTGCTTGCCAGCAACTCTCCAATGTGCCACAACCAAGAGTCCCACTGCAAATGGAGGACCCCCGAGCAGTAAAGTCGAGTATAAGACATATGACCATGGCTTCCGCATCTTGGTGCAAGCAGAACCAGTTCTGCCTGTGTCCTCCAATTCTAGTATGCTCCTTGCCTGCAACACCTTGGGCTGGGGATCAAGGTGTCTCAGCCCTTTGCACAATTGCCCACTCCACATGCACAAATCCATTATGACAACATAGCCCAGTCAAAGCACGATGTCTGCCATCGCTTCGGGCGTTGCGCATCCCGAGCTAGCCAGCTGCCTGGAAGCGCAACACGGACACCAGCACCAAAAGCCAAACCTTGACGCAATGTCAGCGCACGAGCTGACGCATTTGTCTTTGCAATGAAACATGTCCAGGCATGCTGTGAGTTTCTGAGGGGCGCGTAAAAGAGCACGAGCCGCCGAAGCCAAGTGCCGAAGCAAGGCCCAAAATCTTGGTATGGTAAAGTGACCTCCAGTCACCCCGGAAGTTTCCCAGGAAGGTAACCTTGCACAGGCCTCCTCGCCGATTCGGATGTCCCGGCTCGTAGCGATAATGCCTCAGCGACTGATGCCCAGAAGCTCATGCTTCTGGCGGCCCAGACGCCTTGCAAGGCGAAAATGCTTTACTTGTGGACAGGGAGCTAACCTTCTTGGTGCCATCTGTCAGTCGGCGCGCATTCGGTCGACAAGAGTGGTTGAAGACGGTCCCCAAGCCATACAACGCTTCAAATCTGTTGAGGCGCATTCGCAATGTGTGAATCAAGCCAGGCAGCCTGCAGCCAGGAAGAGATTTCGCGGATTTCATATCAGGTCAGGTGCGGCAAATGCGGCAAAGCCGCTTCTCAAGCACGTAGCCAGGTATCAAGAGCAGGGGGAAGAAGTAGAGAAACGCTGGAACTTCCTCGGCCATGCTGGAGAGGTGCTGTTCCAAAGTCGCCCCTCCGTAAAGCAAGACATGGTCAAAATTTGCTCTGGGTTTCCTGGACTGTGCGCGGATGATAGCAGGCCGGCACATCACCCTCGAAGAACAGTGGCTTCTCAATAAGCAGGACAGAGTGTGCTGGCAGGTCTTGCTGCGCGATGAAGGAATACCTTGTGCCAGGTGCCACAGTCTTTGGATCCGGTTCGGCAGATCCGGTCAAAATCATCGCATACTTGTGATGTTGCAGGAACATAGTGCTGCAGCGCAGGGACCCTCGGACTGGATCCCTCTTGAGGTGGATGGGTCCAACATAGAAGCAGCCGGCTTCATGGCAGTCTGTCACTTCTTCCCAGGAGCGAATCTTCATGCAGCTTTCCGCGATAGCTCATGATGTCTCATGTTCCGTAAGGTTTACGGAGCCGAAACCAACATGACACTCAGCATCTGCGCAACTTTTGGCTGGCACGGTCCGATGCCTACGTCCTTAGCTAAGGTCGATGCTGTGTTTGTGTTCCACTCAGACCTGCGCAGCTTCTGAAGAACGCTTCTGGCAAAACGCCCCCGTGCCCTTGCCTTCTCATTGGATTTTTTGGCCAGCTGTCAAACATCACGGACTCCCGGATCCAGTACCTCACCAGGACAAGCTGGTACTAAAAATTCTGCCAGGCCCGCCTTCCTGACGTTGGGCACCCCGCGCATCTTGCATCTCGATGATTGCCCCGAAGGCGTCACCGATGGCATCTCCAATCAATAAACGCGTTGCCTTCCGCATCCAAGAACGCTGCTCTCGCACGGATGAGCCTGATGCTGCACAGCTCCTTCCAGAACTGGGAGACCGGCTGGGCCGCTGTTGGCCAGGAGATCTCGCCGCCGGGCGCGGGCCTCCCGCAGAAGAAGTGCCCTCTCTTGTGAAAGCCACTTCAAGGGCAAGAATGTCCTGAACAGGAATATGTACGACAAAGCTCGCACAATAACTGACCTTTGAAACAGATTTCTGGAACTTAGGCAGAGCTGGCCTCAGGGTCGATTGCAAACATGGGCACCTGTAAGGGCACAGCCATGCTTCGTGCACCCTGTGCCGGGAACCCCCACCTCATCGGGTCCAAGACGTTCTCTTTGTGGAGGGTTTGACCTCTGCTTCTTCACATCGGTACCCACGTGCTGGGGGAATGCGGCCCCAACTCAGCGTAAGACGGCCTACCCCTTCTCTGCCTTGGCCTTGCGCCTCTCCTGCAGCCAAGGCAGGGAAAGGTATGCCTCCTCTGCAGTGCGATCTTGTGTTCTCGTGTGTTAGTGGCTCCTGCCCGCTGAGTCCTTGGCAGAAAGGATTTCCAATAGCGTAATTCAATACATTGCAGGTTCACTGCTAGATCTTCATATGATTTCATATGACCACAGATGCTCCTCCCACCTCTGCGAACAGCACGCTGGCTCCTTCCAACATGCTACAGGATGCCTGCGTGGAAGCCACGATATCAGATCAAACATGATCAAATCCGAACCCGTTGGTCGGGTCCTGGGCATGGACGGCGCTGGGCTCGCTGCCCTCGAGGTGCCTGGCCTGAACAGACTCAGCGGACGCAGCGGCTGCAAAAGAATTTGCGCATGTTCCAGCCGCTGCTTTTGCTTTCTGCAACAACCAATTTCCGCACACCCGATTCTAGACCCGTGCCTCATGAGCTCAGACGTTATGCTGATCAGCAAAGCCTCCGCAACCCATGTTTGAAGCAGGTTCTCTTGCTGTTCTGACATGGACATGTGCAATTGCCGGGGCAGAACTACTATGTCTTGCAAGACCCGAGCGCACGAGGCGCTCTGAGGGGCCGCGCGCGCTCCAAAATGAAGGGAGAGAACAGCGGGTCTGCAGCAAAGCCCTCTGAGCGACGGGCCATCAGCGACAGGGTGACCCAGGAAGCACGTCCAAGGTACCTGACAAGACAATCTCGTGTGGCTGGCTGTTTCCTTCACGTATCCTCATGTTCATTCTGCCCACGGTCCCGCAAAATCTAGCGTTCAACCTCACTTGCTGAGCGTTTGAAACCGGCCCCTCGAAGGCGTCCAGCCTGTGTGATCTGGCTTTGGCTGCTGCGCTGCCTGTCCTTGGCTGGTATCAATGTCAAATCCGTGAAAGTCCTCTTCCACATGCTTCCGCGATACAGCGGCCACGCATGCCAAATGTCCACCGTGCCTCACCCATGGCTCCATGTCATTGAAAATGGCAAAGGAGAACCGCAAGCAGGCCCATTGGCCTTCCGCTGCAGGCATGGCTTCCAGTTCTATGATGGCCAGATCATGGCAATGGACTATCTGTCAACATCACATGTACCCAGGACCCAACAATCTGATGCATGCCTCCGCTGTATGTTCGTTGCTGTAATCCATCTTGCCACATCTTGCTACTACAGCGGCTGCGGAAGCAGAGAGCTGCCAACCAACCAAGTTGTGAGCACCATTCATCCTTGTCAAGCCAGGGTTGCTTGTCGAGCTCTATGGCACAGCGGACCACCTCCAAAGCAACCTCAGCTTTGCAAGCTTCAGTCTTCCGTCACTCAGGTCTGGCGGGTTCGGCAAGGCCTCTTCGCCCCACTTGTCGCGGAGGTCTCCAAGACTGAGCTGCAGAAAGCCGCCCTTGGCCTGCTTTGCCAAATCCCTTGGAGCTGAAGTGACTCACTGAAAACCACAAAGCGATCAGCCTCCCATCTGGGTTGCAAGGTTTGCCGGTCATAGGGGCAGAAACCAGGATCTCCAAGCATCTGTCAAGCTGAACGGGTGTGCGCATCACTGCCGAAATGTCAGCAAAGCTTGGCCGCACCGAGATGTCGCAAGGGACGCCATCATGCGACACGCAACCACGCTGCAGCATGCTGCCTGTTGCAGAGAGAAGAGCATGCTGAAAACGCTTGATGGAACTGAAATTCAGGTTCGTCTTCGGCACCCTCCAAAGAAGCGGCTGAGTGCTTGGCATTCTTGATCTGTGAGACCCTTTGATCGCAGCCTGCATTTGCAAGCACATTTTATGTCTGCCGAAAGCTTGAGGTATTCCCGGGCTGCATGCGCTTCTTTTGGTCTTCTTTTCAGATTGCAGATTGCGGTTTGATCTGCCCTAGGCATGAAGATCTAAATTAGAATCCCCAAATTGACCCTGAAAGACCGAAGATGCAGCGGCTACGGGGGCGCTTACCAGCTTTCATCCAGTCGACCGACACAGCGAGTCGGGATGGAGCCGACATTGTTGTGGGCCTCACTAGGCACTCCAAGTCAACTCCTAGATGTGTCAGGTATTGTCAGCTCAACCGGGGTCTCTAGTTCACAGCAGTTTACAGCAGTAACAGCACAATCTGTGTTGAAGATGCGACCTACCTGCAGCTGTGCACTTTTAAGCTAATGAATTTGGAGCATCCTACAACAATTTGGTGACTGGCTAAGGCAATGCACCCTGACACCGCCCGTCTCGTGACGATGACTCGAATCTCCCTCCAAAATCCTGCATGTATACTTCATAATGAGGCCCCGGCGATTCGAAGAGCTGCTTCTCTCGCCGAAGTCAGCTGCAGTTGAAACGTCTGCAGCACAGACGAATGAATGCTTCAAAGAGCAGATACCGGTGTCGAAGGCATCACGGGATGGCAGAAGTTAGCTGAAACAGACTCTGACCCAGCCTTACGCTGGACTTCGGTCGGACCAACTAACTCCTAGACAAGCCAAAAGCCGATGCTGGAGTGAGCGCATGGTACAACGGCGTATGTCCTCCACGAAGGACAGGCCTGAAGTCAAGGTGCATCAAATTGCAATGTCAAGTGCTGTAGTGCACCCAGCGTAGGATTTGCTAGCTGAAGTTGCGATGGTGAAGAGATTTGATGCGAGCAGCTACTGGCTGAGTTGACGGGTTGAGGCCCTGAACGTTGTTGCAAGCGTTCAACATCGGCCAACAGCTTCTCATTGGCTATCAGAAGCTCCTGCGCAAGTGTCAGATTGCATGAGACCGAAGCCGATTGCCAGTGAACACCAAATATCACCAAAAGATGCGGAATCTAAGCTTGACTGCTTGGAGGCCTTCTCCCGAATAAAGCTTGCAGCGGCGTCCTGGGTAAAAACCTGGAGGAGCTTTATGTCATCAAGGATGTCAATGGGGGGTGATGCGCAAGTGGGTCGAAGAGAAAAGCTACTAAACTGCAGTGAGGGCCCGGACACCACAATCTATGTATGTACACGTTCTAGCTTGCCAGAGCATACAGGACTCTCTTGTCTTCACAACAGCAGGTATGTAACAAGAACAAAATGCACAAGCACCTTGCCATCGACGCACAACAGCATCCACGGGCAGTACAGAATCATGATCAAACGTTATTCTGCGACACATTTGCCTACAGAACACTAAGTGCAGAGAGGCACTAGCTTCTACAAAGCACTTGGCAAATATGCACACGCGCCCTCCAGTTGCAGGTCATCATGGCTAGTTTTCGCCGGCGCTCTAGGGCGAAGCGTTTGCAATCATTCGGCCTGTTTCACAGCAGAAGCTGGCTGCGTCCATGCAGCTCGGGCATCAATCATTCACCGCAATGCAGTTGCAGCATCGAGAGACCGCCGGACAGCTCACCATACCTTGTAACCCTGTGCATGTCCATCACCTGCATAGCAAGTTGCTAAGGCGTGTTGAGCGCACGAAGCAACAGGCAGTGATTTTTCAAGAACCCATGCAGGCTTTTCCAGCGCATGCTTTCAGATGTGCTGTGTGTCATGTACACGTCCTCATGCACTGTGCAGCGAAGCTGCCCAAAAAAGCAGCGGCTCGCTTTGATAACATGGTGGTGGATCCATGTTGAAGAAAGAAGGCGTGCTCAAGATCTGAAATGACGAATTCCGCTGGCAAACGTAAGGCGCACGCAAACTTGCTGGGCGCAAGCAGGGCTCGGCCTTTGCAACAACAACTAGCAATTCTGACTTTACAGTCTTGTACAATCAATCTGGACGCTGCTCAAGATCACGCCATATTCTGAGTATAAGAGGACTGAGCAGCACTTTATGAGGATATCAAGGGATTGTGTAAAGATCGTGGTGCACAGACGTAGTTCTTAACATCGGCAGACCCACACATTCCCCACAAAAATCCCGACGCAGGAAAGTATCCATAGCTTTCAGAATTGATGTTGGTAAAAATTACAACTCATGAAGGTGTGAGTAGCAAGGATGCGGTCGGTTCACAAGGTTTTGCATGCTTTCTTCAAGATCACCCTGGCAGCCCTGGCGTGCAAGGAATTGGAACTGTCGGTAAAAACCTTTCGTGCTCTTCTGTTAGTCCGGGTTTTGTTTCCCGCCAGTCGGCTCGGTGCAATGTTTACAACCACAAACTGTTCTGCATGCCTATCAATCTACAAGAGAAGCGGCTGTTGACAAGTTGGCCCTTTAAGATCCCCGCCGTCATCCATCCAGTCCTGCCACAAGTTAGCTGGCCAACACGTCACTGATCCTTTTCTGTTTCTTCGTTGGTAGCTTGGTCGTCTCTCACTGCAGGGCGCACCCAGCAGGACTTTTGCACGTCTGCCGACAAGTTGCAACATATCACCCTCTAGGCCTTTCCGAGGTGGCCTCACCAGTCCCCTTCAGGGCAAGGCCTTACCAGATTGGGCTGTTTGCTTGGCACGATGTGCATCCACAGTCGAATAAGCAGCTGGCTGATGTCTGCCCCAGCGCAGCACTTACGGCACCAAGCATGCAGACGAGCAGGCCAGTAGTGACTAGCAATCTATGGCTATGGTCAATGCAGTCACGGGCAGATGAATAGTTGCAACCTAGTTAATGTCGACAACTCAGACTGCATGAACATTTTCCCACACTCCGCTGCCATGCGCCCCTTAAGGGCAGCGACAGACGGGGATCATGTCTGAGCCAAGAATTAGGAACGGGATACACACGGCTCTACCACGCCTATAGCCTGTGAGCAAAAACCCGTCTTGCCCCCCACTTTTCCTTGAATCAGCGCAACGCGCAGGGTGCTGAGATGACAAGGCCACAGCCATCCCAAGCACCCCCCGTTTGGGCGTCTCAGGAGAGCTGGAGATAGCTCCGTGATCATTCAGAACCTCCATGGAAGTGATCTGCGGTCCCGAAGCCCTCTTTGGAGGGGTGCTCGCGATGGCGAAACAAGGGCACAGCTGCTGGCAGTGCATCATTACGATGGCTGCCGGCTTTAGAGTCTGCTGTGCCAATTGGAGCACTCTCTGCTCCCTCCTGTAATGTAGGGAGTCAGAGTTTGACTGATTTCGACTGCCCAAGCATCTTGTCGAACAAACCGGGGCCAAAACACAGCGCTTTTACATCGAGCTATGAAACGAGAAGAAGAAACTGGCCCTGATCCTGGCACTCCTAGGCTTTTCCTAGGCATTCCTGGTGATCCCTGGAAATTCCTAATTTCAAGGGATTCCCTGGGAGACGGTACCCGGAAATCAATGGGTACCCTCCAAGGAGGCCTTACTTCTTCAATTGAGATGAACCGGAAGTCCAGGATAAGATGCGCATCCACCTAACCGTGCTAAGTACCGATGTGCTGCATCCGGCCCACCCCGGAGTGAAAGTAGCTTGAGATGCTTTAGTACCAGTCAATTAGAGGACTCTGTATGTTGAACCAACATCCTGAGTCTTATGCTCGGCCTCCTGAACCATAGTGCCGTGGCTTTAAACGAAGGCAGGCAAGTCTGGATGCGATGTGCTTACTCCTTTCTCCATCTAAAATAGTGCGATTTCAGGGAGAAACGGACACAGAACAACATATTGGGTGAGCACGTGAGCCGACTTGGCAGCCTGACAGCTCCAGGGATTCGCTCTTGCTTGCCTTGAGTGAGGACATTGCTCATGGTCGGCACTGCTGCCGTGGAAAATTGTAACTCAGCTCTTTGGGACTCAGAGGTCCAACCTGTGAATGCGCTTCAAATTGGCTCGGGTGCACCGAAGTGGACGCTGTGATCCACTCAAACGGCTACTGGATCTCCGGCTCTGAGGCCATGAGTGCGACGTTGTTCGATAGGTCAAACATTTATCAAAAGGGTGGGAAGTTTAGGGAGCATTGCTTCAGTCACACCTGGAAATCGCATGAGAACATTGGGCAAATCATCCCAGGCGGATCACGCTGCTACCTTCTGCCTCGGCTTCAGCAACAATGTTGACAGCCATCAATTGCAATTTGCGCAGGAAGCTGGCAAACCGCTGTACACTGCTTTCCTGCAGTATCAAACAGGCTGGCATATGCTGCTGAGGCACCAGGGCAACTTGAAACCCCGCGCCGCTTTCGCCTGAGTCTTTCTGCCCAACTCGCCATGGTGCAAGCAGATACATCAGAACAGCCCTCTTAGCAGTGGCTTGGAAGGCGATTGGGAGAACATGTCAACAGTTGAAGATTCAGCAAAGTCATACGGGGTCATGTTTGTGGTCATGCCGCTCTTACACACAGTGGCCCTTGCTTGGCAAACCAGTGAAGAACAAGGCAGTCGTTTGACTGGTCAAGGGGCGATGCAAGCACAAGCTGCTGAAGAATGTGGCTGCTGTTGAGGAGTCATCAGATGTCGTACGTGATCATACGTGGTTTTGCTTGAATTGACGCCGTTCCTTCAGAAGATTCGGTGTGGGTGGGTGAAGCCTGCATTTGCAAACTATTGAAGGATGTGGCAGCCGTTCATGTGCGATGTGAGGACACTCTGACAAAAAAGGGGGGGGGGTCAGGGGTCACGGGAAGCACAACTTCCCCCATTTGCAACCATTCAGGAAATCTGGCAACAGGGCAACAGCTGGAGATTTCTCAGAAGTCGTACGGGGTCACCTTTGCAGTGATGCGACTCTAAACGAAATACTGTGGGAGGCGTGAGTAGGGTATAAATCCCCTGCGTTTTGTCAGCCACTGAGAATTCTATTCATTCATTTTATTCATGTGTGTTGTGCACTTGGAGAGTGGCTTTCCGAGTGGCTTTGACTCCCATGTTGCTGTCATGCAGTCGCTCACTCATATGGTAAGCGCTCTCTGGCAGTATGTTGAATCAGTCTAGGCTTGAACTCCGCACCTCTAACATGCCAAGGCGAAAATACCGTAAACCCCTTAACTCAAGCCAAACGCAACCAAAAAATGCCGAAAGAAGACCAGCCGTCAGCTGAGACCTGTAAGTAGCAATACATAGACCATGACCACCAAGAAAGTGAGAAACTGAAAACAAACCAAAACAAATAAATGAAAAATGAAAACCAATCAAAATCATGGCTGTTGTCCCTTGCGGACTTATCCAGATACCATTGCGCGCTCAAAGCCCTGCCCTAACCCCGTCAGCCTGGAGATCGGCAGCGGCCTTCTGTGCTGCTGCTGCCTCTTGGGCTGCTTTGGCCTTGTCAAAAGAGAACATTTTACAAAGGAAGGAAGCAGGGTAAAGCAGTTACCGTCGGTTCAATGCAACCGGAGCCTGGGCAGCCAAAGCTTGACGCACGCGCTCCTGCTGGCAAAACAAGTTTGGATTTGATTTGAGGGCAAATGGGGAGAAACAGGACAGCTCCTGCGCTGCTGCCGCCTTGTCAAGCAGGCCTGCTGCCTTCCAGGATGGCTCATCAGTCCAATTCGGTCAAGCTTAACGCAGGTCAGGGCCCAGCCTGCGCGGCATTTGCGCTCTGTGCTTCCTGGACTGCTTTCAACTCTGCAAGCTTTGCCTCCTGGACAGCAGGTGTGGATTCAAGCACAACAAGTGCACAAACTGCAGATTCTTCAATGCTGTTTGCCTCAACAAGCTGCTTTGTAGCTGCAGCCTCGCTCTGGGCCTGTCGCAGCACTTTAAGAGACAAACGATCCCAGGTCTAGTTGGACATAAGCGGTGGCCTTGGCCTCGGCTCGACGAGCCTGCACACAAAGCTGTATTTTGCTACAAGCAAGAACATTCCACCTGCCGGGTACATGCTCATTTCCAGGCCAGTTCCTACCACTGGCCTCGGCGATCTCGGCCTCTAAGGCGGACATGCCAGCCTTCAGATGTGGAAGCCGCAGATATGTCGGCAGAAAACCGATGCAGGCAGATCCGCATACATGGTGGCTGGAGTGCTATGGGAAATGAGGTCCCGCGGACTCTAAGTCCTGCCTGTGCATCACGCACCGGATCATTGGCCTGAAGAGGCTGGGAAACTCAGAGCAGGTATTCCAGTGGGTTTACTGGTGGGCATGGTGTCTCACAGCTCCACATACCCCAAGAGCTTTTCTCTCCAAGTTCTCAGCGCTCATGGTCTGGAGACCCTGTTGGATCGTGACCGCGCGCTCCTGGACTCCAAGGTTGCCAGCTTGCGCTCGAAATCAATTGATGCCCCTGCAGTCCTGCGAGTTCTTGATTTCTTCTGACAATCGCTGCTTCTCCTTGAGTTGGTTTTCCAACGCGGCCTGGCCAGCAAAGCTAGCAGATAATTTGCAAAATGGAAACGGCACACGTTTGCTTCATGATGATGCTCCGAACGAGTATGTTGCCCCTGGCACTTGACTTGCATTAGGCCGACCTAAACCATTGGTCTCAGGTTTCAGGGCTCGAAGGCTCATGTCATCTCGGTACAGATCTCAGACGATCAGACAAAGCGAATATCCGACGATAAGGCATGCCATTTCTCAGCCTGTCTCTGTGCACTTCGCATGATGCCTGCATCTTCTTCACCTCTGCTGCCAGCTTCTCGTTGTCCTCCTCGCACTCTTGTAGGCGATACCTTGCCATTTGGTGGGCCACGCCGGCGCACGCTTGCCACCAAGAAACCACCTGTGAATCTAAGAACAGAGCGTAAGAACTTTCTCGTTCTGAGCTTGGTCCTCCAACAACGTGATGCGGTCCTTCGAGGTTCTGCCCGATTTCAACACTGCATACGAAAGAGGTGCAGAGAATGCTCCATCTCCCACCCTCACAGCGCCTTCAGATTCTTCTCATCCGCTTCCATCAAGGGAATGATCTGCTGTAGCGCTTGCTGCCTGAGGTGGCAAGAAGTTCTGGCAGTCGGCCACTCGTCTGATTACTCGAGGAGCAAATACCCAGATCACTGACGCAACAGTTCCCCGTATCGAGAGCGTTTGCGGATGGTCTGTGCACAGTTACCGCTAGATAAGTCGAGTGCTTATCACACTTCTGAGTCCAGAACCTATCTTCCGTCTTCTTGAAAGTCGCCTGGCGGGGATGCAAGGAGGAAAGCGGCCTCATCACATCACGATTAGGAACTGGCACGCTACATGCATGTGCTCTCCTGGATCCGCTGCTCGCGCACCAGGGCCGCCTGCTTTTCCTGTTAGAGCATTTTGGTGCGTGCAGCAGTTGTTTTCAACAAGCATGCTGTGGACCAGCCTGCTTCAGCCTCTTTTGCTCCGTCGACAGTCCTTACAAAACGCTGCCCAACCCTGCCAAAAAATTGATGTGCCCCACCGAAAGGAAAGCGTAGGCCAGGCGCTTTAGCATGGCTTCAGCTAAAGACATGCTGTCAAATAACGTGCAATTATGGAATGCACATTCCATGAGCATGATGATCCATCAACAGCAGAAGCGGAAACACGTAGCATCAGGAAGGTGATGTGAGCGTTCTGGGAGGCTAGCATCAGCAGTTCATAGCCGCGAAGGACATATAAACAAAGCATGCAGGGCTCCAAGCTTGAACATCCTCACCCCTGTTTGGCCACAACAGAAATGCCCCACACTCCAAAGCTTGCGACGTTGAGCAGTGCTCTCGTAGTAGGAGCTCTCATGATCTGAAGCATAGATTTGGAACTTTGTGTAGCAGTCTAATATTCTTCGCTTCCAACAGAGCCACATGGATCTTTCATCTTTGATTGGAGCTCCCACTGGGATCCAAGCGCTGTGTATCAGCTTGTGCCAACTCTAGCCGACTGGACAGCGCCTTCCAAGGCAACATCCGTTTCATGTTATGAGACAAGAAGAGGCTCCCAAAAAAGAGAAAAGAAAAGGTTCTCGAATCCCAGCACCTGGTTCTTGTTGTTCTGCGCAAGGAGCACATTCTCAGCGGCTTGCACCTGCAAAGAAGCAGTCCCTGAACCGGCCGAACTTCTATCTGCTCCAATGCGGGCGTTGCCCGGTTCATGTCCGAGATTGTTCAAGCACTTTTGTTGCGTGCATGGCGAGATTGTCCAATGGGCACGGTTTTTCTGGGATTCAGATCTGCAGCTGTAGCTCAAGCATGCCCACTGCATTCCTCTCACTTGGAAGCCCCGGACACATAGCCCTGAATGGGTCGGACCACTTCGCCACAGGATACCATGCTGCATCTGCGTAACCAGCGCTCCGGTCGTCTTGCAAAGGTGGTCGGATGTGGTACGTACGTCGTTGCTACAATTCCTCGTGCTGCAACAAACCGTTTCTCCGGCGCACGCTCCCACCCGCATTCTGTCGCTCTCCAAGTTTTGATCTTTGGGCGCATGGAACACAACAAGAAACAAATACTGTAGCATGTTTCCAAAAGAGGCAAGGAGTCAAGCATGCTCGTTGGCCTTCTGCGTCAGAGCTACAATCTGCTCTTTGCACGTTCGAAGCTCAGCCTGCACCTCCAAACGGCAAGAAGGCGCAAAAGCAAAAAGACTGACCAGACTGTGCAGGCCTCCTCGTTGGCATGCATTGCTGATTGAAGCCTGGGCATGTCATCGCTCCAGGTGCACACATGAACGTTTGTTGAAGTTCCTGACAACCGCACTACTGACGACTCGCACAAGGCACATGAGCATCGTCTTACCCCACATGAGAGCATTTAGGAGGGAGCAATGCAAACAGGCTCCAGAAGATAAAGCAGCTAGGTAAGGCTTCATGTAGCAGTACCATACAGTTGCCAGTCCATGTTGATGACAGCCTGACAAGCCTACCTGCAGCAGAACTCTAGCAATGTGGCGCGTGGTCATGTCTGGAATCTTCGACTGCAGTCTTGTTCAATCCTGCAAACTCCTTCCTGTGGGTACTTGAAGGCTGTCTAGGCAGGTTACAGAAAACGCCAAACTTTAGCTGTGGCGGCGTGCGAGGAGCACCCGTCCAACCTTTGAGTTTGACACACTTCCCTGACCCGGCTTTCTCTTGAAGCATCCATTTACACACTCTTTGCAACAGGGTCCCAAACATCTGAATGGAAGTTCACCCTCAGAGGGCTGAGAACGGTACGCAGTCTGCCTCGCTTGCAGCACGTTGTGCAAGTCTTGCTCCTGTCTACACAGACAGAAACTCAATGACTTCAAACTCCGTCTCACGAGTAAAAATGCCCCTGGCCAAGTTCTTTCACCCAGCAGACCACACATGTGCAGATGCAGTACGGTACAGGATTGTGCTTCCTTGGCAGCGGCTTCGTTTCTCTCTACCTGAAGCAACGGAATGCCGGGTTGAACAACCACGCTCAATTTGATAAGCATCATTAGCAGAACATTCCACACATGTATCTGCAGGTGGCTCCATACAAGCTGCAACTTTCAGCACTTGTCCCGCACCTGACGCGTCTCCTCCAGCTCCCTGGCAAGACAAACTGTTGTCCGAATTCAACTCCAAGCCATCCCAGGAATCCGGAAGCTGAACAAGTCCCTAGGAGATCAAAAGCGCATCTGCACCAGTCAAAGCCAAGTTCCGGAAACTTCTGAGTCACTGTTATCACTGTTTTACACAAAACCAGGCAAGATTGGCCTCAAGCTCTGTTCCAGGCGCGTAGTAGCCATGGTCAGTTGGTTCAGTTTGACCTGTTCCACTGGCAGTCGTGCGCAAGCATGCAGCATGCGACAGCATGCGACAATTAAGCCGGTTTATCGGCAGTACTGGCACCAAGTGCCAAGGGGGATCTACAGCTGCTTCAAGGCACACAGCAGTACCGCAGCGGCTAGACTCTTGACATTGCACGATGTTCCCGTCAGAACTGTCATATCAACATGCATCGGGGAAGGACTGACCTCCTTCTCCTTCGCTTCGCCCTCAAGCTGAGAAATTTTGGCAGCGTTCTTCTTCTCCACTTCCCTCAAAGGCATACGTGCATTAGCTCTTGGGTGGACAGTACCCAAGTCGGATTATCGATGGCCATACTTCAAACAGCTTGCGATGCAAGCAGAGCGACATGCACAGGATCTACTGTGACGGCAGTTAAGTCACCTCAAATTGCGCTCGAGGGAATTCACCTCTTCTTGCAGCTCGTGGCAACTGTCCTGACCGGATTCCGGGGCTGCTCGCTACATGGCTCTCGAACACAAAGTCTCTGCCTACCTGGCTCCAATGTTTGGTGCTCTTCAAAAGCGACTCAGGGAACCCCCTGTGCAGGAAGGGTCTGGTGCCTGCGATTGCTGCGACAAGGACTGGGAAAGCTCAAGCTTGTCGTTCGCGTCGTCGTAGATGCTCTGAGCAGGGGAAGGACCGAAATTCACCGTGATAAGATGTGATAAGCAAATCTGAAGAAGCAAGCTGCTGGCAAACTCCCCAGGAGTACGAGGCACCTCGCCTGCAGCGCACGGATCCTGGACTTCAGCTGATCCTTCATACCTCCATGGGTCAGACAAGGCAATGTTAAGCACCGAATTTCACCGCTCGAAGCAAGCACATGAGCAGTCCTTGGCAACTGTGGGCCACGAACCCTGCACACTTCATTTGAAGTCATGTGCTGAGGCTCCCACGCATGTGAGAGCTTAGCTCTTCCTGCACAGAAAGTGAGAATATGTGACAATGCAAAATCGCCAAGCTGCTAAAGAAGGCTGTCCTCAAGCTTCTTCTTGAATTCGTCGTTGTTCCTTTGCATTTCCGATGTGATGGTGCTTTGCCTGGCAGGAACGAAAAAGCTGCCCCATCCAATGAGGTTTCTTCCTGTGCACACTGCTTAGTCGCTTAGTCTCTAGCGTCACGTCAAACAGGCTGCAGTCAAGGGCCACACGATAGCAGAAGGCCTCTGCAAACGTTCCTCCAGCTTGTTCTGAATCGCCATCTGCCGAATGATCACAAAAAAAGGAATTACACAGTTGAGCAACCGAGCGTAGTGAACAGCCTTGAGGATAGTTGTCATGCTGTGTGAGGATCCAGCACAGTTTGTCAACCACCCCACGCACAGCTGCCACAACCCCCGGTAGCGGGCCACGCGGGCTTGCGTTGAAAAAAGCGTTGAATGCATGTACGCAGTTCCAATTGCTATGAAATGCCATGAAGTTGCAGCCTCCAGGCCATTGAGAAGCGGAGCACGTTGCATGGACTGTGGATCAGCACCTGCGGACAGGAGGCTCCTAATCCGACGACGAAACCTTCAAGGTTCCCTCCCGCTCAGTCGAACACAAGATTCCAGGATGGAAATGCAACAATGCATCTGACCCCGCGCTGTGGAAGGTAGTCACAGCAAACTGACGTTCTCAGAATGTCAGCCTGACTATATCCATACCAAGGGCAGCTAAACACGCCAGGTGCAGCTACACCCACAAAGTGTGAGCTCCAATGTCTCAAAAAGTTGCTGGTGCAACAGACTGCGCAGTGACTGAGGTTGCGTCATGTGACGGTCTTCTGGCGCCTGGCTTTCTGACAGAAGAACGTCATCATGCTCTGGCTTATCCTTTCTTCGGGTGCTGGCTCATTAGCTGTGAGACAGTAAGCTCAAGCACAAATTGGGAACTTCACAGATTTCGAAGGCTTCCAGAGAAGTTCACCACAGAGATGCAGGGGCCTGCGGTGCATCGCAGTTGCAGCCGCGACGGCACCGATTGTCAGGGGCGCTGCCTAAAGCTCAATCACAACTGTTTTGGCAGCCAGCAGTGGAGAAACAAGACGAGCAAGGTATCTCTGTTGGCTGACACTTGCCTGGCTACTCCTGCAGCGGTGTGAAATCGTAGGAATCATGCTGATTGCAGCAAATCACTGTCACTGCATGACGTTTTGATCAGTCGTCACCTCCATCTTCCTCTAGACACTAGAAGAATTCCGGGACCGTCCAGCAGCGCGCTTCTGTACAGCAGGAAAAGCTCAAAGGCCATGGTGTCGGGCGGCATCCTCTGCAGACCAAGGACCTTTCGTGTTCAGCTCCACGGTGCCACGTCGTGGCTCCGGGCAGCCTTGTGGCAACCCGAGCAACTTTTCCAGTGCGGCTGCAGCGCGGAGCAGTGCCGCGTCCTCTCCATAGGCCGCGACCAGCTGCAAGCCCACAGGCCGACCATCCTGGAGAAGCGCCAACACCCCAAAACAAAAGGCTGTTGTTACAGGGGACCTACCTGCCATACCTGCCTATGATGACTCCAACAGGGTGCAAAGACTGCACTGACTGCACATGACCTGTCCCTTTCGGCCTCCAGGAAGCCGCAGGGCATCACCAGAGCAGGGCACAAGAAAGTCGTGACTATACACGCCGGCATCATCCAGCCCAAGTAGTTTGAGAAAGTCTGACCAAGCTGCTCTGCGGGATAGCGAACTTCAGCGTCAAAGGCTGCATCCAGTGTTGCCGGCACACATAGAATGTCCATGGAACGGAAAAGCTCTTGTACCTGCTCAAACTGCTTCCTCAAGTTGCTTTCCGCTTCGTGCGTTTTCTTCGCAAGCCCCAAAGTCGAAGCAATCGACGCGTTCCAAATAACTTCCGGCTTCATGAGCTGTTTCTTGTTCGTGTCCTGTAAGAAGGCAGCATACTTTTGTTCAAATGTGTTGCCGCGCAGGATCAGAAACAGGTCTTCAGCTTTGCCAAAATCAATGTCACTCGAGATGTCTTGCACTTTGGCTCCAGCGCCTGATGCTAGCAAATCAGCTGCTTTCCGACACAGCTCCTGTCTGCAAGGGAAGGGACTCCAATCTACCCTTCAATGCATACTTTCAAGAAAAGGTATGCTTCTAACAATGGATAACAAAAAGTTCAGCCTGCCTCGACGGCTGGGTTGTACTTGTAGCCCAGAGTCGAGAAGCCAACCCTCACAGTGGCACCCTGCTCGTTTCCGGCAATCGCAGCTGCCTCAAAAGTCTCACCCGGATTTAAGGCTGGTGGAGCAAAATCCCATCCATGACTTCCCTCCATAGTGTCCAACAGCAGAGCTGCATCACGAACACACCTGCCAATGGGCCCATTGATGCTGTGAAGGCCAAGTAAAGGACCTGAAGCTGTATCTGCATCCCTAGGAACGCGGCCAGGAGACACTCGGAAGCCCACCACTCCGCAAAAGGCCGCAGGCGTGCGAAGAGAGCCCCCTAAGTCAGAGCCCGTAGCAAGCCAGCCTTGGCAGGCGGCAACTGCCGAGCAGCTTCCTCCGCTGCTGCCGCCAGCCGTGGTTCGCGTGTCCCAGGGAGAGACAGTCGTCGGAAACAGCGAGTTGAAGCTCTGAGAACCCGCACAAAATTCTGGGACGTTTGTTTTTCCTACAACAATGGCACCCCTGGCTTCAAGCTGCGTCACTAGTGCAGAGCTTTTTTCAGGTATCCGGCTGGCATAAATGAGTGAGCCCTCCGTAAAGCGTACTCCTTCCACTGCCTCAGCATCTTTGATCAGAACGGGCAAACCATAGAGGAAGCCTTGCGGGGGATTCTCCGGAACCTGGAAACGCGAAGCATGAGCTCGAGCTCGATTAAAGCAGGTGATGGGCGTCGTGTGCAGGAGCGCGTCAGTTTGAGAAAGTCGCTCTTCCACAACATCGATCATCTCCAAGGGAGTGACGGATCCATCCCGAAGCAAAGCCACAGCCTCATGTGCTGCCAGAAGGTGCAGGGGCTTGGTGGCTGAAGCAAAGGCTTTATGTGGCGTCTCCATAGGCTGGAAGCGCTGCCAGAAGCTTCGGGCTCGAAGGACACTGTGTCTCATCTTTCTTGGACCAATATGCCTCCCACGAGTGGCGACTGTCGAGACAGCAGAGATGCGGAGCCGCCTAGCCCAAGCCTTATGCTCATCGCAACCTTCCTGACATGATGGATGACTTCTGAATGGGCTTGCTGACTTCGCAGCGCAGAAACTTGGACATGATACTGGCTCCCATCTATATGCCGCCGGCAGAATGAATGATTAATGCAACTGAGGGTTGGAGTGCCATACTGGGGGCCCCCGTGCAGGGACGAACGTAACAAGAAGGAACAAAACAATGACGTCAATCTGCTGCTGGCTCTCAGCAACCCGTTCTCGCTAGGTCATGCATTTGACTGCCTGCTCAAATATGGCGGACCTGCAACGTATACACAGCATGCAAGAAGACGCACCAAGGACACGGCAGCATCGGAGAGGCTTGTCTTGATGCCAACCTGCTGTGCTAAAGGCGTTGAAATGAACCAGGCATCCCAGATACAAGCATGCAAGGCCAAATCATGGCATGGCCGCATTCTTCAATACCTGAGCTGATATTGATAGCTGCACGCGTTTGCCTCCTGAGCAGCACTGCTGCGAGCAGCCAGAGGAGTGCCTCATTGCGCCAACCCAGTATACATCCGGATTTGACCAACCAAAACGTGGGAAAGCGATCATGCTCAGAGCGGAGGTTAGATCGTGAACTTGCTTTCTCTGAAGCCTAAATACCTCGATATGCGTAGTTACTCCCTTGTTCCCCTTGCAATCTTGACACATCCCTCCCGGTTCCCAAGGCCTTTCTTCTCTGAGATTTTTCAGAAACCTCTGATGATGTGACTTGGGCACGTGCTGCTCGAGCTCGGAAGGACAAAGGCCACACCGGCAGTACCTCAGGCAGCACATTTCCTGCTGCTGTCCTCACGCTTGCGCTTCAGGTCAACAACGCCGACCCGTTTGCTGCACGATGAATTTGCATGCCAATTTACGGATTTTCGCAAAAACTCAAAAATCCAAAACAAATGGCTGTATATCGCTAGTTTGCGCGTTTTCGCTGAAACGCAAAATCCAACAGTCCAAAAATGCCTCATCGGCCACGTATCGCTAGATTTTCGACAAAATATGCAGCTTTTCGCAAATGTCGGCAGATGTTCGCCAAAGTTGGCAGATTTTTGCAAAAAGTGTGGGTTTTCGCAAAATCGGTATAGATTTCCGCAAAATCCGCAAACTTCGATCGTCAAACTTTCGTAGAAATCGTTATAGAATTCACAAGTTAGATCTTCGCAAAAACCAGGAAATATTTCGCTGACCTTGCTAGATTCTTGTGTAGATGTATGCAAAAATCGACACATTTTCGCAAAAAAAATCGGCAGATTTTCGCAAAATTGACAGATTCTCGCTAGAAAAACGCTTGATGTTCGCAAAAAAATGCATATTTTTGCAGAAGCGGTAAATCTGACAGATCTCGCATTTGGTCGAAGTTTCGGGCTCGCGGCTCACGACTCAATTCAAAGATCCCAAAAATGTTGAATTTTCGCGCTTACGCTCCAAACCGAATCGTGTAAATATCGTTCATCGTTTTGCTGCCACATCCAACCCGACAGAGAGCACGGATGCACCCCATCAATCAGTCAACAGCGACAGCAAATTTCCAATAAAAAGAACAAAGAAGAGCTAAAGGGAGAGCGGCACCAGTACGACCAGGGCAGCCTCCACCGCAGCAACACAAAAAAGACATGAACTCAACAAGTAGGACCAGCAGCAACAAAAAGACTTACAATAGCTTGCAATACAAGAAACATGGACAGTCCCAGCCGCAGCAATAATTGTACGGCAACAGCAGCTATAGCTCTAGAGCAACAGCAGAAACACCACCGCCACCACCACCAGCAATAAGAACGACCACTATGACACCACCATGACCGCTGACGCCATGACTTTCTGCACCAACACCAGCAGAAGGGACATGGACAAGGAAAGAACATCCAAAGCATCAGCAATTCTTATGCCGACTTTTGGCATTTTAGCATGCTTGCAGGCCGGGCAGGGTCAAACAATGGTCAAAAGCTTTCAAATAACAGCTGTCTGCTGTAAGGTGCATCTGGGCGCCAGACAGGCCACAGCTGCGGCGGTTGTCGAGTACTTCCTCTAAAAGCACATTGCTGGAATGCAGACTTTTGCAGACCTCCCTACGGAGACACCAGACATTTAGGCAACATTCTGTGCTGTCATGCAATGCCAAAGCACAGGAACTTGGTCCTCATTGTCGAGGCCATCTCGAATATGGCAGATCGCCACTTTCACCAGTGTAGAGCCAAAGTCTTTACAGATTCTCAATGCCAGCACCCGACTCCCCCGAGGTCAGCTGCACATCTGCTACAGCCGGCCAAAGCACTCGGTGAGCTGACCCGGTCCACTTGTTGTCCCCACTGGTGCAGCGAAGCTTCCTCCAACCTCGTCTCTTGAAACCTCTACGTACTAGACTCTACAATTGATGCCGGCGCAGTCTTGCTGCCCTCGTCTTGGAAGTATACTTGCTGCTTTTTTTGTATCGTGTGTTGCGATTCGAGCAAGTTACTGCCGGCAGTTCTGGGAGTGATTCCGTACCAGTTGACGTCCTCTTTGGGACGGGGCAGAGCAGCTTCAGAGGCGTTTACGTAGGAAAAACATGGAGTCACTTGCCAAGCAGCCCAGACATCTAAGGACGCTGTATTGTAGGCCTGCTGCTGTTCCTGGGCATGCCCGCAATGACAGAATTGCTATGGTACTGAACAATGAGTCGACTGCCCCCAAAGGAGGCAGACCTACGCGAGCCTTTCATCCATTAAGCTTGCGAGCTGTAGATGCATAGTTTGCCGCTGGAGGCTACAGCGAAGAGAGACTTGTGTTGGGTGTTGCTTCTCTAGTCGACTCCTTACTTTGGGGACGGGCTGTTTCACAGCCGGGGCAAGTCAAAGGGCCCCAACCTGTCTGAGTTTGCCTGTCTTGCAAGTCCACATATGGCTGAAAGACATGACCCGATGTTTCTTGCCCTGGCTGCGTTCTCTTAGTCGGCGGCGCCGCCGTGGAAAACTGTTGCTAAAATCTCCAGGACGGAGCCGTGCGGATTTCAGATTTGCATCGAGCCACTATGAAGTGGCGTCAGGCTTGACGTACTTTGCGGCTGCCCGCTTCTGTCAAACCATGCCGCGGGTTTGCTGCACAGTGCGTGCCCAGAAGCTCAGCAAGTCACTTACGCCGGCTTTTGCCTGAGCTGGGATGAAAGAGCTCCCTCTGAATACGAAAGACTTCACAAGGACGCCTAGCCGTGGAAAAGTCCGCCCAGCTCATAGTGGATCGTTCGCAAAAGGTTTGGTAAGGATGCGCAGACGTCCTGTCCCCCACATGTTAGAAGCATGCCCCTCAGTCCTACCCGTGCAGATCAGGATTCAAACGACTTTGAACTGTCGAGCAGTGTCCATAGTCAACGGACCAATGCCTGCCTTGACATGCTTGGCCTGCTTCTTACGCACGCACCCACACTCAGCCCTGCCGTTCAGCGACAAACATGGGAATATCATACAAAATGCACAGGAGCTATCCATCGCAGCGTGTAAGAACACAACCACTGACAACCACACTCCCAGAACCTGGGGAAGCAAACGAAGTCTCCGATGTGACACCGAGTTTACAAACATTGTGGTCACGGGGTTCTATGCGGTTCTTACAGGTTCAGCAGTCTAGCACTGGAGACGTAGAGGCGGTTCTGACATGCCTTTTGAACACAGTGGCGACGTGTAAGAGCAAAGTCAAAGCAACGGAAATGCAGGCATTCCTCAACGTGCGAACTGCAAATGAAAAGTAGCCACTACACAGCCTCATAGACAGAGATCCTTTGCCTGAGGTGCGAGAACTGATCTAGAGCAATTCCAGATCGGACGTGCATCGTCCGAGCAATTCTCTTGCAAGCTATGCAAGGAAAGGTTTGGTAGACTAAACAGAGCTTCGCGGCCAGGGCAGCGACTGCGTAGCTTTCCCCTGCCATCACTTGGGAAGCCATGGGAAGCCATTTGCACGAAAGTCACCGCGCGTTGCCCCGTTTTGAGCCTGGAGGTTGGCCGCGGTTTGCTGCGCTGCCTCTGCATCCCTGGCAGCCTTGGCCTTCAAGACTCCAATTTCTTTCTTGCCCAAGAAGACCCGTACCCTGATCCCCAAATCTGCCTGGGTCTCTAAGGCCTTTCGCACCCGCTCCTCCAAACCAACAGGTGGTGTCAAGGCTTCATGTAGGCGAAGCTGTCAAGGTTGCTTTGTGGTCCTGCGCTGCTGCCGCCTCGGCAAACAGCCCAGCGGCCTGCAAAGTGGACGCACTTGCCATGCAAAGGGCGGCTGTGGACTCGGGAAAGCCATGTGCAAACTGAATCAAGAACGTCAGAAGCGGAAAAAGAAACCTTACACCAACCCGTTCAACACCACAAATGTCAGAGCTTTGCGGGAGCTGTATCCCGACCGCGGGCCTTCTCCGCGGTAGCACTTCGCGCCTCCTCAACTGCCCTCAGCTCTGCCAGCTTTGCCTCCTTAGATTTGGCTTTCATTGTACTTACTGCATTTTGGGTGTTCTCCCGCAGCCTCAACGAGCTGCTTCGCAGCTGCGGCTTCCTGCTGGGCCTCAGCAGACTGAGCAGATTATAGAGAGAAGCTTTTTGAACTGATCCGGTGCTTGACTACAGGCCTGAGCCTCTGCAGTTCGAGCCTGGCATTTTCAGTTCTATATTAATTCCGAATTGCTCAGCCAAATCCAAACTGCAAAGACATCCATAAGGCCTTCTGGATCTCCGCCTCCAGAGCAGCCCGCTTTTCCTGACCCGAAACGAAATTGGACAGCTGCGAATCGGGAGGATTCTTCCGGCCTCAGCAGCTCGAGCTGTTTCTTCAGCCTGACCAACTCTGGGCTGGACCAGCTTGTGAACGTTGCATCAACAATGCATCAACGGCAGATTCGACAAGACACCGGCCTTGGCTTCAAAGGTCTGGGCCTTCACCGCTGCTTCGCGGGCGCGCTCCTCAGAGTAATGGACCATCCGCTGCTTCTAACACAGATCTATAGAGGCATTGCCAATACACGTCGCCCATCCGCCTGGTACATCTGGAGTTCATTGGCCATCTTCGTGGTCTCCTTCTCCTTTTCCCTGAAGTTGGCCTCTCGAGCACACGAGACGCAGTGAGAGTTGCACTTTGCGAACCACTCGTAGCACAGCAAGATTAGGCGTGTCTGAGTCTAGATGTCACGATCAAAGCGAGCCATTGAAGAGAGTTACGTCGTGCTGCTTGAAGGCGCCACCACTTCAGCTGCCCCGTCCAAATGACAACGGCTAGTCTCAGTACTTCTCTAATCGATTTCGTGCTATACATCATCTTGAAGCACCAATTATCGTTTTCGTCACCAGAGCCTTTCCTCCCCCAGACAAGAGTACTTCAAGCTGACTACAGCCACTACAGTCTCCACCTGAGAGTAAACACTTCGCAGTCCTCCAGCTGATGGAGTTCCTTTGCAAGTCGCTCGTTCTCTGCATGGGACTCCTCAGGAAAGGTTCGCAAGGAAAACGGCAACTTCAACAAAAGGGCAGTGTGAAGTGTGAATCACAATCACCGTATGCTAAGCGTGAGACGGTGAGCTTGGAGGTGAAGACCTGCTCGTTCTGGGCGACTTTCTCCAACAAGTTGATACGGCGGATCAGCTTCCTTGAAACGCGCACAGGTTGATGTAAACCAAGATCTGTGATCTACACCCCTGAACACATCCCCTGAGAGTTTTCCCGCAGCCAAGAGACTTGTTTTCCTCCTCCATCTTGGGCAGTCGATCCTCAAGGAACTGGTTTTTGCTCTGCACCTGATCTCCAAGCTGGCCGAAGGCAAGTGTTGCACACAGCCTGGAAGATTTACCATGATTTACCGTTACCGTGGAGGGGCCTGCGCCAGCATCACTTCCAAGCTGCGCTCTCTTTGGAGAGCATCGGAGATGTCAGCCTCATCTACATGTCAGCTGCTAAACAACAATCCTTGCCACTCCTTGTGCCTCCAAGACTTTCTGCTCGCTTTGAAGGCGCTTCACTTCGGCCGAAGAGGCCTGGACTCATTGAAAGATGTTGCAAATGACTCCATGACTTCAAAAACACTCCAGGCACCTGAAGTTGCTGCGCAAGCTGCTGCTCCTGACCACGGCCCCCGAACAGGGCTCAGTCAGCACACTGTAACATGCTCTGGCTCGGTCCTTCAACTGCGCGGTCTGCAGCGCCTTCTCCAGCTCCACGACCTCTACGGAAACTGAATGTTACTTGCTTTGAGTCAGCCGTCAAGTCAATGTCAAGCTTACGTCTACGTGAATTGCTCCCTCTGTTGGAAGACTGTTGACGATGGTCTGGCAAGATTGCGGCAGCCAAGCATGATGAAGAACTTGAAGTTCAGCATGGCAGCATGGCGTTGATTGCACAATGATGAAATACGCTGAGTATCTGTGAGTGGATATAATGCACCACAAGACCTGCATCAACCTTTTCCTCACCTTGGTCTGCATCCTGTGGATTTGCTCCTTGGCCAACTTCAGCTCAACTTTTGCCTTCCATGCGGAGCAAGCTGAATTGGCAGTACTGCCATAAATCCCTGCTGAATCTGCAGTGTACGGCAATGAGCCAAGGCAATGCAATTCGTAGCATGGGGCACCTGCTCGCTGGCTCTGTTCGTTATGTCAAGCCTGGGAGGATTGCAATTTGGCAAGCGTGGAAGTCCATCCAAGCTTCCACTTCGAGAATTTAAGCTGCGAACTGTGCTTCGATTTGGGCAAGCTGCGTCTGCAGAGCGCTCTCCTGCCATGTTTTGGGGGCGGCTCTTGTATGCTGATCTTCGAGCCAGTCCGGCTGTCCTGAGTTTCAGCGACTTCCCGCTCCGCCTAGCACAAAACAGTAACAGATCTTCGAAATCTGAAATGCACTCTTTGACAGCACGTGTTTGGATCAAGAAATCCAAGCCCGAGGTGGCCTTGACCTGCATGCCCAGCTCCCTGCGATCGAGACACAGGGGCAGGTACGAGCAGGTGCGGGGGCCAGCTTGATGCAAAATGCCTTCACAAACTCCTCCCTACTCCTCCTCTCGGTCAAAATCGAAAGTGGAGTAGACAAAGGGGCAAGCGGACTCCAATCTTGCAGCGTTCAGCTGGGCTTTGACGAGGATGTTGTCTTGCACGACTCTCGGACAAGGCTTTACATCCTGTTGAGGATTAGAGTCCGTTGATTTCCGCTTTGGAGCTTGGTGCTGACTTAGGACATCGTGCATCTTCCTACTTTGCATTTGCATATCTGTTAAAGTCATGCAGGCCTCAGGCTCACCTTCAGTCGAGTCTTTTCGACTTCGAGGCGGGAAATCTGGTCCTGAGCCCAAGAATCCCAAAGGGTGGAGCAGGCTGGACCAAGGCGTTGACCCAACGTTGACAACTCCAAATGGGAGGTCCTCCTTGTGCTTGACGTCAGCTTCAAGCTCCACTGCCTTCTGGATGCTTTCAGCATCAGCTATCCTCGGCAACCATATATCAGTCAATGTTCTCGAGTGTTCTCAAGGCGAAACATCGCCAAACTGCCGTCCATAGTCGCAGGAGCAAGTCCAATTGTGCTCAAAGCCACTTCACTCTAAGCCTGCGACGTCAGTTTTTCCTGGAGCTGAGCAATGTCAGCAAGCATTTCATTGCGGCTTGCCTGCAGGAGAGAATTGCTGCATGGCAGTGTAAACTGAAGTGCCTATCACTTGCTAGGTTTGATGGCCTGCATCTTCTGCTGCGCGATCTGGGACATCTCCAGCTTGTCATTTACTTCAGTGTATATCTCCTTGAAAGTCGCAGCATAGGCAGGGCTAGCCAGCTCCGCTGATTTCTGTGGCAGTCGAAAAGTCCTGCAACACAGCGATCTGCATCCTGAGCTCTTCCCCCACGCCTCAGGAACTCAAGCTCTGCCAGCTGCCAGTGAACAATGCATGATTTACCCCTCCACCACATCACTGGTGCCAAGTCCGTGGTCTGCGATCTGGGTGCGCCACGGCGCTCCACATCCAGCTGCTCCTGGCGAAGCGCAAGCCAGCAATATCCGCAGGCTTTCGGGGAACCGGCTGCCTCCATTCTCCTCTTCAAGTCTTCAGCTCCCTTCTCGATTTGAGCAGCTTGTGAACTTCGCCTAGATATTACGGGCAAGCACGGGCACAGCTCAAACTGCAAGAGCTCCTCCACTAACGCCCTGCTGACTCTATGTGGCCTTTGCAGCTGCTCTTGCAGTTTCCGCTCCAGATTGGCCTTCATTCAACCACTTCAAAAGCAACTTGTGATGCTGGTACCGATCCTCCATTCCATCAAAGAGACCCTTCCGGGTAACACAACCTGAATGCAGCACGTGTCGCTTCACAGAAACGCAGCAGCTTGAGCTGTTCGTGCAAGTTGGCTGCGGCTGCCAGACACTTCCTCCAAAGTGCATGCTGCCGAGAAGCTCCAGAGTAACAAAGCAAGAACCCACCAGCTGAGGGGTCATGAGAGATGAAGGGGGACTTTCATAGATCAATCCCTCACCTTCATCACATCAAAGCTAAGGTCTCAGCTGGTGCTCCTGACAGGCATGGCGTAGCTCTTCGAAAAAGAAAGCTCTGAAGGATTCTTGCCTCCTCTGACGCCGCGCAGCAAGAGCTGCCGTGCTCAGCAAAGCTGCTGTGCAAATGCTTGGCCTGGGACTGAGACGTAGATGCGTGGCTGCATGAATTGCCATGTCAGTTGCATGTTGCTGCCATCATCAGACAGCCGTTAGCTAAGCTGGAGACATCACGTCAAAAGGCATTGCGCCAGCCGCAGCCTTTCATGAAGTGCAGATTCGAATACTCTTGATCTACCTGTGCAAGCACGGATACTGGATGATGGCTAGAGCAGACCGGGGCAGAGTCAGGCTTGCGCCTCACCGGCTTTTGCTGGCCTACTTGCAGTCATCCGAACACCTAAGGCATCTGCCAGGAATGCTCAAAAAAACTGTGCCGGCATAGCAGTGACACCACACCTGGAACCACAAATGCCGTTCCTGCCGCGCCACCTAGGCTTCGAGTCCAAGAAGCTAAGGCTGCAGGCTCATGCAAATTCAAGCAGCGCTGCAGCAGCACTAATGAGCCTCGCACATAGCAAAGCCATGATGTAGCGCAGCTTTGGATGCCTGGTCGGACGGGACGAGGGGCTTCCCGCTGGCAAGCAGATGTAGTTTCACCCCGGGCCTCTCTGGAGCTGCCATGGCGGCACGTAATGTGCAACCAACTCACTGCTACAAGCTGGCAGCCCATGACATGCAAACAGCTTTCTCTGACATGTAAAATTGTGCCAACATGTGCCGGCAGATGGAAGCTGCATTGCAACACACAGCCAGGAGCTTCGCTAAATGCTGACGGTCAACATTGGAGTGATGTGAAGGGCATTTTGTCAAAACGTGCAAGCTGTGCTAGGCAATCTAGCATCGGCTCTCAGAAATCAGTCCTCACCTGGAAGCTCAGCACGACCTCGCAAGTCACACACCTTGACTCTGACGGGTGCTGCAAGGGTGTAAAATGTAAACAGGGATAGTTAACAGAAATTGCATGTAGGCAGACGCTCGACACCTATACTTTTCCCACACTGCAGCACAAATCGATCGGGAGCTCGGCACACCTCTGTGGGTTCAGCTCAGAAAGTCACACTGCTGGCTCCAGTTTGGGAAAACAGGAGGAGCCGACACGAAACGATTGAAAGGTCGTGGGTGGGCCAAGCAAGATGCCACATCATTGCACATCTTCCAAGGCTCGGTCAGGAGCTTTGTCGTCCTTGAAACCAAGGCCGCTAGTCCACGACCTTTCTATTTTACAAGGGGCAGGACTTGAGCCCTTGCACACCAAGACTTAAACGATGGCTCGTCCTCGAAACCTGGAAATCAATGCAGCAAACTTGCCCTCATCGCCTTGAAGCAATTGGTGAGGCTATGCAAGCAGCTGGTACGGCCTAATTTTTAGGCTAAGATTGACTGATTTAGGGAGGCTACTCGGTCTCCACTTTGTCATGGAGACAAAACATCACAGACAGTCAGAGTTTCCTCATGCTGCAGATGGAAAGGGCCTTGTCAAGGTGTCGGCAAGGTAAGTGCGATAAGGGGCAAGGCATCAATGGTCTGGCAACCACATCCGTATCCAAGATGCGATGCAATCAGCGAACCGTCTCCATGCAAATGTCCTTGTCAACAAAAATCACAAAGCTTTTGTAGTTGCATGATCTAGGAGGTGATGCGTGAATCAGAAGTCTGTATCCTTGCGCACACTGCTGATGCCGAACTTGTCACGCCTCAGCTGTCAGCCAGGAGCAGCTGCCGCTGCTACAATGTGAACAGCTTCCAAAAAATAGCAGATCGCTAACAAAGCCACGCTTGTGTGACGACGTCTGCAGAGATCTTCCCTTGCTTTGCAAGGCCCTGCAGAGCAGCGATCACAACCTCGAAGTTTGTGCATGCAGCCAAGCTAGAGAAAGCCCGTCGGCTACCCTTTCATTCGGACACCAAGCAAGAAACCACACAGCATAGCACAGTCGCAACTTCCGTGAGTGCACGGACGCTCTGCGTGCTGTACACGGAAGTGTTGCTGTTCTTGTGACATGCAGGAGCTAGCGAGAGCCAAGACGCTCTACAGGCAAAGCTGCTTGGAGTGAGCCGTACACAAGCCGAGCCGCATGTTCCTTGTCCACCTCAAAGAAGCGGCGAAGCGCCTCACGCGTGTCGGAGCGGCCGAAGCCGTCAGCACCCAGCACCTGACAGACACGACAGGAACATCAGGCACCACAGCCGCACATCGCCGAAGCTGCCAAGGCGCAATGAAGTCACCACCGACCCAGGGAGCAATGAGCTTCGGGTAGGCCTCGCGAAGAGCATGTTTTTGATGGACCTGGATGGACTGTATCACTCATTCGCCGCGGGTCGGACCGTCATGTTGTCCGACACCGCGACTGTGACTTCCCCATCACCAAGGCATTGCTCCACCCAGGAGGTTGGCCCCTGCAGGTGCACAAATGCTTTCAGAACTATGGCATGAATCTGGGACCAGCTGCCTCTGGCACAACATGATGCACAAGCTGCAGCAAAAAGAGTCTGATGCCCCACACATCATAGTTGACTTGGCCGCGATTTGGCTTGAACAGCACAAGAGGTTTGCACACCAACTTGCACTTATTGCCTTGCGGATGGGGTTTTCGTATTTGCAAGCGCAGAGACAGGAAGCGATAATCATTCTGATTGAAAGGGGCGGCGCTGTAAGAAAAAAACGCTGGCTTGGTTGAGAGGATGAAGGTGTTGAAACCTGGAATTGACGAAGTAGACAATACACAAACTGTAGAGTAGTCATAGCAGTTCTAGGGGGTAGGGGAATGAGACATCTGATTTTATCTGAATTATCAGAATTATCTGAAGGACATGGCAGTTGAAACACAAAAGACTGGACTACTGTCATTTTGCCATGCTCGACAAGCACCTCTACCAAACTTCAGGGGGCCGCCTCCCCACCGAGGCGTTCTAGTCGCTGGCAAGCAATTGCTTCGCGCTGAAGCTCGCCGTAGCCTATGGTCTTTCACACTCCACTCTCTCATAAATACTCCGATAACTGGGCAAGTCATGATGACTCTAACACCCAGCCAAGGGTCTGGTTGCACTCCAAATCTCCACTCCCACACCTCAGCCAATAAAACGCGAGTTGAGCCATAAAGCAGCTAAGCAAAATCGTCTCCGCGATCAGATCATAAGGCAGGCACCGTATTCTGCCAGGATGTCGACTGCATCCAGAGCCTGCATTCCAGCAGCTGCGTGATATCGAGTGGAGCCGACAGTACAGGTTTTCCCCAAGCATGCCGAGAATCTTTAGCAAAGCCAGAGTGGAAGCCTTTAGTATCAGGCTGGTAAAAGCTATAGTAGGTGACTAGCTTGTGACATCTTGTGACACATTGCACCAAGCAGAAACTCAGCCGGATGGAGAAAACGCCTGCTTCATGATGGCCCCTGATCCGATGACGCGGACCTGGGGCTTCAGGACTCTGATCGGAAACTACAAGGCAGGTCGGGAACATTCAAGGATATTCAAGGATATGCCACTTGCTGGTCCCGAGGGTCAAGCCTTGTGCTGTGCTGGCTTGGCATCAGCAAACTTGTACAAGCCTTTGATAATGCCGTCATCCACACCCTGGGCAGGAGCGAGAAAATGTGAGAAGGCTTTCCTGCCCTGCCTTTAAGCACAGAAGAACACAACCAATAAATGCACCCTGCTGATTCAAGAAAACTATCCAGCCTCAGGCTTCTCGGGCATGGCCATGTTCTCATTATAAGCAGTGACGTAGTAGATGACGTCTTTGTCCTGCAGCGTTGCTACGACACTGTGAATCACTCTTCCCGTCCCAGGCTTGCTGCCTCCCCCCACATCTCTTTGACCCCATTCTCAATGATGGCTGCCATCTCGTATCCAAAGGCAGGGTCATAGCCCTTCACCGCCTGAGATGGAGGCAAGCTGTTGTTGAGGACGATTGGTCTTCAACACCCCTACACCCCGCAGGTTCTTTGAAAAAGGCATCAAATCTTGCAACAAGGTGACCACCTAACTGCACACGTTGAGTTGCGACTGTCAGTTGCATATCAACACGATTCACCTATTTACCAATTGCGGATTGAAACTTGCTTCGTCTCTCAAGCTGTCTGTCTGGGGATTGAGACCGTCTAATCCTTGCACCCTCATGGGCTTCGAGTCTTTGGGGCTCTGAGTTTGGATCATTTGCTGCAACCTTAGACACAGGCGGCGGAACCGAGCACTCTCTCTTTTTCTTCCCAGGCGAGCACTTGTAAATCCTGCCAGGCCACGATTCCGCACTAGAAATGCTTAGGACGCTTTGGCATTACACTCGCAATACTCGCAGGTTGCCATTTGGCCAGCTATGGCCAGCTCTTCCTGAACCCAGCACGTTCCATGTACGAAGCAGCTTGGAGACGTTTGTCAGTATGGCCCGCCTCGCTTCTTTGTGTAGCTTTCCTGCCACTTTGAATCTCCAGAATGGGACTGCCAAACCTGGTGCTGCTCCACCACGGTCTGTACAAGCTGATGTGCTAAACGACTGGCACGTGCAAGGTTGTCATGGTCCTCACTCTGCAGCAGAATATGCAGACCTTCAGCAGTCTGGGCACCCTCGAGATTGACTGACACACCGGTCTGATCCTGGATCCATTTCACATTTCGGCCCTGCGCGCCGATGAGCCGGCCATTGAGCCCAAATCTCGGATCAAAGCTCCACGCATCTATAAAAATCTTTTCTTCCCCCAGTCGAGGTGGTATGACTTTCGGATCGTTGTGGCCAGACTTGCCCTTGAATCCTTTGCCATTTGCTGGTGCAAAGTTGCGGTCAAAGCTAGCTTGGCTTGCTTTGCCGGGCTCCTTCCCCTTGCCCGCTGTCCACGCCTTGCCATCTTTCCATTGCGGCTCCAGGCCCTTTCCAGCTTTGCTCCCGCCATCTTTTCCGCCCGCCAGGTGTGGAGGCGGATGAGAAGGCGCGGAAGGCTGGGTGGGTTTGGCAACCGCTGTGCTTTTGTTTTTTGCAAGGTTGAGCAGCTCCCTGACGAATCTCAGCGGTAGGCCAAGGGTGCTCAAGTCTGACGCCTCTGCAGTCCTGCAAGCTCACGATTCTGCATCAGCTAGAAGCGGTTGGCAAGTAGGCAGACCCCTCTGACCGCAGAGTCCTGAGGCTGTCGACTGTGTCGTACCAGTTCTCCTGCAAGCAAACTCATTTGCTGTCGTTTTCCAGCCAGCAGCACAGGGAAGCTTCGAGAAAATAAATCCTTTTATATCTGCGGCTCTCTCCTCCAGCAAGGACAGGTAAGGCTTGGCATCCTCGGAGGAGCGGCCCAGCTGTCGCGCTGTAGTTGACACAAGTTCTTGCAGCTGCCTGCAAAGAAGTTTGAACACTGCTTCAAATAGCGGGCTTCCTCTCTTGGTGATGAACAGATCTATTTGAAGCGAATCTACTGGTTTAACCTTTTGGCAGGCCCATTTGATCCCATTTGAAGTGCACAAGCTGGTAAACACGGAGCTAACAGGGAGCTTGAGTCAATTGTGCTGGTAGCGCCTGGAGGCGGGCATCTCCCGAGGCACTGGCTATTCTAAAGTGTGCATTATGCCGTAAACTGCAATGAAAACTCCATGTACCATAGAAGGTGCAAACTTGTGCGGCACGGCTGTGATAACCGGTCTGCAGAATGGATGAGACAAAACCCCTTCTTTCAGTTCAGTTTAGCTCAAGCAGCCTGGGCTCTTGAGCCGAAAAGTTGCAAACTCATGTCAACTGGCTGTTCTTTGCTGATTCGTTGTTTCAGCTGCCAAGCCCCGAGTTCATGCAAAGCTGCCGGGCAGGTGTGCGCGATGAGAAGCGAGTGTCCGTCCTTGCCAGGCCGGGCAAGGGGTACTCTTTCCGTTGAAGCTCGGCTCTGTGTAACAATCAACATGAAGGATCCCGCCACAGCTGTCCTGATGCTGCAGGCCTTCTCCATTCAAGGTGGTGCGACCATAGGTTGCTCCAATGAGGAAGCCACGCGCTCGTGCATCTGCAGCCTGCCAAATGCTGTCACCGACCTCGCGGGCATGAATCTCTGAAAGCGAACAGCAACACGCTACAGCTGTTGCCGCCAAGATGCACGCTGAAATCCAAACCTCTGGCATCAGCTTGTCGGTTGCTTCAAGCAGAACATCTGAAACGGTCTGGAACGTTTAAAACTGCAGCAAGGGGCATGGAGTAGTAGATGAGGAATGGGAGCGTTGGCGCATGCTGGGAGGAATAAGAAGTAGCGGACGCAATCCAGGTCATGATGGCGCCACCCTCACCTGAGTTAATGGACGTTGGCTTTCCTACTCCTTTCTTGCGCCCGCCCCAACGTCAGTCCCTCTCTCAAAATGAACAAGCCAAACGCATAACAACTGAACGAAGTTAAATTGGGTTGCACTGAAAAACTCCATACGAATGGGCGCAACTAACAACCTGGTTATCACAAAGTACCTTCTTAGCTTATTGCAAAGGTTGCAACTCTCTTCCGTAGACATTTGAAGGCGCAAAAAAGACAAACTGAGGCCATCTCTGATGCCTTCTTGAAGAATCTGCCCATTTGGTGCTTCAGCATACTTCATGACCTCCGGCAGGAATGAATCATAAATGAGCTGAGCCGGCGTTAGCCCCCAGGCACCTGATCAGCGTCGACAGGCGTATAGTTCTGGCCGAAAGGCGCATGTATCTTGAAGATCGGGAAGAACGCATCGATCCCGAAAGTTCGCGACCTCAGACATCCAAACATCCAAACCCTGCCGTGTTTGCGAAAACTCGTTTAAGCGTACATATTCAAAAAAAATGACTCCTCTCCTTGAAGACTCCAGAGAGGCTGTTGGGCTGCCTGGTGGCGGGGCGTTTTGATCTCAGGCCCGGTGATCAAGTGTCACTCCACGCTTTGTTCTAGTTCCGGCGGCCACCTCTTTTTTGGCACCACTTCCCCTCCATGCAGCTTTAACGGCGGTTCCGTGTGGGGGGCCGTTTCTCAGGTGCCCCCCGTAACATGCCGTTATGGACAAGTTTTCTGAAACTGGAGCTTTGACATGACAGCAATGCCACAATTGCAAGGGTTGCCCAAGCGCTGGGCTCATCAGTGACCATGAGCGTCACTCGCTGCCCAAACTCACCAGCCTTGCCACATCTTAGCAAAAGCTGCGGCAGGATCACCTCCATCTATCAGTCTATCCCAGACAAATCGCGAGCGGCCTGCATCATCTTTCTGAGAATCTGCGCAAAGCACATGGTTGTGCTGATCTCCCTACCTTTGGATCCTGCAAGGTTCAAATCTTCAGTTTTGAGCTAGATCCTCTAGACTGCACCTTCACACACGGTGAGCATAATCTGCCACAACTCCAGAGGTAAGCTTCCATGTTCACGGATACACTGCATGGCAGCATGGGTCCTGTATCAAACATGTCATAGACATCATGGTTGGGAAGCTCCACCAGCGCAGAAACCTCCAAAAAAAGCCATGCGAGCTTTCTCCAAATATGCCTGCAGGTGCAGCAACGCTGGAGCTGCCTTGGCCGGCGACCTAAGCGGGAGGAAACCTCCAAGGGCATGGCGCCGCTCTTTCAGATACTTGACCTGGCCAAGGAAAATGTTGTGGAAGCTGGCAGTTCGATTCTCTCTAAAAAGTTTCGCTGGCGCGAGCTGCCCTGCACTGGCTATGTGCTGACCCCTTCCCGCTTCCCATCACCTTCGAGTCTCTACCGCGGAGAGCAGTGCAGACACGCAAGGGGCGAGCCGAGACCAATGAAAACTACCAGCTTCGTAGCCCTTGCGTACAACTGGAGGAGGAGGAGCCCATGCAACCAAGAAGCATGTAGCAGGCGCACAATGACAATGCTGTGAGATAGACAGGTTGATGGATTGAAAGATTGAAGGTCGGGACGTGACAGCACCAATTTTGCCACTTTCGACGCTCTCCATGCAGCTGGCCTCGGGAGAGTCCTCCTTGAGCGCAAAGAAATTCTCTGCCTCTGGCAGTCCGGACTAACAACAGGCTCTGCTAAGAGGTAAAACACTGGGAATCAAACGTCTGCTTTGGCAAGCTGCCTCAGGATTGCAGCTTGTGCAGCAGTCCACATGCTTTAAAGAACTGCCACAGCTGGCTCGTAAATGCTTGGTCAGCTGCTCGTCAGTTTTTGGAATACCCATTGCATCGCCTGAGCAGCAAGCATGGCACTTCTGTGAGTGGCCTCCGGGGCAAACCCAGCTGAGCACACAGCGGTAAGCCTTCCTGAGTTCCACGTATTGAAAAGGTTTCATAGCAAATCGCAGAGAGCTTGGCTGAGATCCAAGTGGCATGTCAGAATCAGACATCATCTTCTTTTGGTGAACGGTGTTTCTTCCCAGAAATGTTTGCAAGCTGTAGCCCTGGTCAGGCAGCGGCATGTAGATCACAGATGAGTTCGCCTTTTCAGAGGCACCTTGAGGGTCTTGACAAGAATCACCTTGCAGCCGGCAGCAGGGATGCAAAAGAACAGGCTACGTCAACGCTTACGCTGCAGCGACTTGAGGAGGGCCGTCTTCATGCTGTCCAGGCTCTGTTGGTCTTCCGCCCATCTCTGCATTCTTTTCGGCCTTCAGATGCATACCCGGCATGCGCATCAGGCCAAGGCCAACTATGTCACAGGGAAAGGTCCTGGCCTGAGAAAAGGCAGCATAGATCTTGGAGTGGTCGTGCCCGCCAGGAACCTGGAAGGCCTTCAGAGGACGATTCACTTCAGATAGGACCCTTGCAGCGAATACAGTTCGTTAGCCTGCAAAGATCAAGGACTGCCATCTACGCCTCGAGTAGTTCTGCATCACTCCAGTGGGCTACACGATCAAGGAGCCCATGCTTCTCGAATATGTCCTGTACAATCGGTTGCAGGACAATGTAGTCAGTCTTGCAGGGGCCTTTCGGTCGTGCTTACCTTCAATACTCACAGAAAGACTGGTCATGTCAGTCTGTCCTTCCGGATTAGCGCGCCGTCTGCCTGAAGACCGATGCAGCCATGCACAGAACTGCAAGTTCCAGAACATTTGACAGGACAACACTCTCGTGCCTTGGCATGGAGACGCTGACAGTCGCCATCCACCGTGGCCTCCAGCGCCTGATTAAATAAGAACGCAAAAATTGAAGGAAGAGTGCAAAGGAGGGGAGGAACGGAAACAAGGCACGGAAAGGACCAAGGCATACGATGGGGGGAAGGGCGGGAAGGGAGGATAACAGATCAAACCGGGCTGTCTTCTAGGCAGTTGCCTCGATGAGCTTGCCATCATGATCCTGCTCAATGAGCTCATTGAACTTGCCGCCCCAAATCAGCTTGATGACATCGAAGCCAGCTCCACGGAAGGTTCCCTCGTACTCCTGCATGACCTTGGAGTTGCCGCGCACTGGACCATCCAAACGTTGGTAGTTGCAGTTCACGATGAAGATCATGTTGTTGAGTCGCTCCCTTCCTGCCACTGAAATTGCTGTAATGGACTCTGGCTCGTCCATCTCTCCGTCACCAACGAAAGCCCACACCCGGCTCTTCGAGGTGTCTGCTAGGCCTCTGAGGTGAAGGTAGCGAAAGAAGCGTGCCTGATACACCGCACCCAAAGGCCCCAGTCCCATGGACACTGTGGGGTTCTCCCAGAATTGCGGCATCAAACGTGGGTGCGGATAGCTTGAAACGCCCTGGCCCCCAACTTCACGTCGGAAATTCATCACCTGGTCAATTGTGAGGCGACCCTCGACAAAGGCGCGCGAATAGGCACCTGGAGCTGCATGCCCCTGCATCCAAACACTGTCACCTCTTCCATTACCATAGTCTTTGCCTCGGAAGAAATGGTTCATGCCGACCTCAATTACATCACAAATGGATGCAAAGGTGCCAATGTGTCCGCCAACCCCGCCACCACGTCTATTGGCATCACTAACCATGACAGCTGCATTCCACCGGATGATGTTAGAAAGTCGGTCCTCCATAGCACGATCTCCTGGATATGCTGGTTCTGCGGAGCTAGGGATGGAGTTGATCATGGGCGTGACAACTGGCTGCGATATGGGCACGCCCAGGCGTGATGCTTCTTCCATAAGCTCATGGAGGAGGAAGCGAGCTCGGGTTGCACCCAAATTCTGAACAACAGCATCAAGCGACTCTATCCACTCGTGGGTCTCTGCCTCATCAAACTTGGGTCTCGCTGCACGGAGTCTCTCCTGGTTTGATGGGAAATGCCCTGTGTGTTGGTGCATAAATGCTAGAGAGGCCGAGAACGCTGGCATCTCTCCTTGAAGCCCCTTGGCAAACTCACCATAAGTGATGATGCCGGACTTGTCGGTGTCGAAGTGTGTGAACAAAGATTCGCTTTCAGGGTCACTCAGCTTTAGGCCCACACTGGCCATAGTATCCCTGAATTCCTGAGGATCAAGACCCTTGGACACATTCTGGTCAGCCTTTGCAAACCAACTGGCCGACAATGATGAAAGTGTTGTGATGCCTTCTTTGGCAAAAATATTGCTGAGCTCTGACAGCAAGTCGGTGGGTGATCGATTGCCGCCGATGCCCACGCCTGATGGTGTGCCCCCATGTCGCCAGTGGAGGGCCATGCCACGGGTTACCTGCCGCAGCACCACTGGCCGGCGGAAGGCATGGCCGCGGCAAAGGCGAGCGGCCAAAGTCATTGCCGCTGCCACTTGCCGAAGCAAGCTGTGGCAGAATCTAAGCGGGATTGGGCTGCAAAATGGCAAGCAATCCCAGCTGCTAACACTGGTTCAGGGACTCAATCAACACTTAATTACTGTTCGTGACACACCTAGCGCCGATGATCTGCAGTGACTACCGAGCATGGGCAGGAATGCAGCGGTGCCTGGCATGCCGTCAAGATCCAAAACCCACGGCTTACGCGGCATCCAACAGGTCCTTCTGCTGCACGAAGGTCAGCCTGCAGCTCAGCATTTGTTGCTTTTCTTTCGTTTGGTCTTCGGATTTAACTAAAATGTAGAGAAACTGCACTTGTTCCAACTTCCAGCAGTCGCATTCAGAAAGTTCTAAGTCATTCCAACTAGTAATGCTTGCTTGCGTCAATGCACTAAGTTGACTGAAACTTTCCGCAATTTGCATCCTTCCGCGATACAAACATCATGTCGCTTGCCACTAATCCTGGAGCTTCTAGTGTTGCAAGGTTTGAGGGTTTGATTAGGGGCTGCAGCAATTATTTCAGGTGTGAGAATTCCAGGACTGAGGAGAGATTGATTGTTTCTTTGAGGTTCGCTAGTTGAAGGTTGTCCGGATTTTCGTTTGTGTGCTGATTTTGAGGCCCTGCTCGCGGCCGCAAGGAAAGGTGGATGGAGGATAGTGGAAGACTGTAGACACGTCACAACACATCAAAAAGTTGACCAAGGGGTCAGGACCAAAGCTGAAAGGTCATGAGAAGCCAAAAGAAGTCCGAACGCGGGGCCAAAAACTTAAAATCGGCAGGTTAAAAATCGCGGAAAGTTCTTGCCGAATCAGAAACCAAGTACAGAAGCAATGTGACGCAAAGAGCGGGGAAGGGTTTCAAAACCCCCGCAGTGGCGACTTGAAAAGTCTGAAAAGGCGAACTGCTGTAAACCAACGCCGTGCTTTCGTCATACCTGAAACGATGGATGAACTGCATAGGCACATGGAAACAAAACTGAGGTTGAAGTCTTTCACCTAAGGCGCAACATGTGTTACACCTTGTAGATCTCTGAAGATGAGCCAATGAAACCACATGTGCAACCTAAGACCTAAGAATCTCCAACTCTACCAGCTGCACATCTTGCAGTATCTTGCTCGTTACCTCCCAGAACAACCCTGGAGAAGTTAAGATGGAACGGGTTTGGATTCGGGATTGAGATGGTAAGACGGCAAACGCGCACAACAAGGATGTCGTAGCGACGTTGAAAAAGTTGGTTGACCATGATATGAACATGATCAGTCTCCACGTTGCCCGCATGATTCCTCTAATGGCACACAGTACTGCAAAGATGAAGTCTCGCTGCCAGGAAAGTCCACGGTGCGTCTATATGAAGATGAGGATCATGTTCTTATTCACTCGCCGCGAGAGAGAAGACAAGTGTGGCGCTGGCGTTGGCGATGAAGTGGCCGTGGCCGTGGCCGTGGCCGCAAGACAGCGAGGAAGATAGCAAGAAAGCCGTGACAAGAAAGAGATTGGAGATCATGACTTACAAAACTGAGGGTAACATATTATGCAGCTGATAAGAACATGGAAGCGATAACAAGTAAGGCTTGCGGATGGTCATAGGTGACACAGAGGACGAGGTGTGTCCATGAGCCCAATCGAAAACTGCACTTATGCCGCTCGATGCGATTACACAGCGGTTAGCCTGGATGGTTGGGATGCTGAGGCTGCTGCTGATGGCTGGTGATCACAGTCATGAGGATGCTGAAAAAGAAGACGGATGCTGCTGCAAACCAAGACTGCAACATTCGATGACAACAACACGAATGATCATGACATATGTCGACGACAACAGCAGTGACCATGATGGGCATGAATCCCAGGGCTGTTGGGATCAATGCCAAATGCATGGAACCACTGCGAGCATGTGACAGGGACACTGAATATACAGTATGCTCTGTTTCATTTATTCCGTTTTAAACCCCCTATGCAGACCATACCATGAAAAGTGGAAGGTTTGGGAAGCTCCGGAACTACTCACATGTTTTTGTGCATCCTTGGATTGGTCAGACAGTTCCAAATCAAGCGAGAGGTCACTGTACTGCTGAAACCGCCGATCCCAGGTCAGAATTCACCAGCACAGCAGGAAACCTAATCATGCAATTGAAGTAGAATATCATACGCAATCGAACCTCCCGCTGAGGCTCCTGCATGTTGGGCATCCTGGTCAACAAGGTACCTCAAATCTCACATCCCTTTTCAAAACACACCACTAGGTACAAGGACGGAATCATGCTGCACCGTTCATCGCCACCGCTGCCAGAAGCTGCGTCCTGAAGTGGAAGGTTTGGGGTGGAGAATGGAGATGGCAGATGTGGACGCTTGTTGGGTCCTGCTACCCGTTCTAAGCCCTGCTTTGGCCATCAAAGATGAGCGGAGAAGAGAAAAAGGCGAGTTTCGACAAAGATGTGCGGATGTCCTTTTGGTTCGTTCCAAATATGCAGGTGACGGCCAGTCGTGAAATCCGCACGTGCCAAATCCAGCTGGAAAGACCAAAGTGCCCAAGGTGCCCTGAAGGGCCTAAAGAACATCAGAGGCTGCAACACCGGCTGCATATCCAGTTGACCAACAGCCTTGAAAGTTGAACCCACCGGTGATGCCATCTATGTCCAGCACCTCCCCTGCAAAATGAAGCCCAGGACATGACCGAAGTTCCATTCGTGTCCAATCCAGGTCGTGCAGGTCTACGCCACCTGCAGTCACAAACTCCTCCTTGTTCAGCCGGCGCCCTTGCACTTCCACCTCAAAGGCTGTCAGACAGCTCCAGATTGTTCTGGCAAGTACCTCACTGGCTTCTGGGCTGCTGAATACTGCCCAGGGCCAATGTGCCAAAGGCAAACCAGAGACTTTGTACTGCCGCACAAAAGGGATGAACTTCATGTGTCCCTCTTCAGCCTCCATCTTGCGCAGTAGTCGTTCCCATAAGCGTGCCGGAAGTCGCCCTGGCCATGGAGACACCTCTCCGATTGGCTTTCGCCGAACGGGAGGACGGCGTTCACGACCTGTCGGCACAGCGAGTATTGCCTCTGCGGCATCATCCGGCGTCTGCAGTGACGGCGCCCAGTTCAGCCGCAACCGGGCCTGATAGCCAGCATCTTTGAGAACAAATGCACCCCAAGCCGATAAGCGCAGAATTGCAGGGCCGGACAAGCCCTCATGAGTGATGAGCACTGGCCCGCGAGCCTTTGGTAGGTGCCTTTCGCCAAGAATTTCAACTTCAGCATCCGGCAGAGACACTCCCTGTAAGCCCGCCAAGTCCACGGAAGACGTCAGGACAGAGAAAAGAGATGGCGCAAGAGGACGAATGCTGGCACCAGCATCGTGCAGAAGTTTTTGTACAGAACGCTTTTGCGCGGAACCCATGCACAAAATCACGCGCCTGCACTCAACGACTTGCTGCACCGAGTCTGTCTGGACATGTAGCGAGAATTGTTTGGGCTCTTCTGTGGATTTGTGCAAGGCATGAACATGGCCTTTCAAGAGAACTCGGATGCCAAGCCTCGCTGCTGTTGATTTCAAACAGTCGACGATGCTTTCGGAACGGTCGGATGCCGGGAAGAGCCTTCCATCTGCCTCAGTTTTAAGCTCTACGCCTTTTGATTCGAACCACTTGGCTGTGTGCTCTGCTCCATGGCGTGCAGCCAAACATGACATCAGCTCGTAACCTCGGGGGTAGCTGCTCTGAAGCAATGCACTTGGCCAATGCGTAACATTGCAGCGGCCTCCGCCAGAAATGCTGACCTTGTGTAAAAGCTTGTCTGACTTCTCAACAATCAGGACATCCTCTCCGCGCCGCCCTGCTCGCTCAGCGCTTGCGATTGCTGCATAGAACCCAGCTGCACCACCACCAATGACACAAAGCTTCACAGAGTGCAGAGAGCATGGAAGCGCGCGAATGACAGACATTGCACTTCAAAGCAGCGATGATGACTCTTTGACTTTTCTTACGCTGGCACGCAATGACCTCTAGCATGGGCGCCATCAACTGTGTGCTGGCTGCATGTGGTGACTATCTTACGTCAAATAGCCGTTGCCTAAACAGGTTTTGGAGGCCCTACCCTCATTGTACATTTCGGGGCCCTGGAAATGTAGAATCACCCCAGCTGGAAATGTACAACATCAGGCGGAGCGGGGGGGGGGCAATGGCCAGTCAGCATGAGAAGCTTCAAAACAGCCATGAGCAAGCAGTCAATGCTGCAAGCAAAGGCTTTGCTTCAGGGGAATGAGTTGGGG